TGGCTCTGGCTCTGGCAGCCTGCTGGCAGGTGTCACTGTGGGTTTCTCACTGGCTTGCCTACTGCTGACAGCCCTTACCTCTGCTGATTGTGGTACTGGGTGACACATTCCCCATCCATGGCGCAGGGCAGATGGAAGCTTCGTTCACAACTGCTCTGTGCGCAGCTGATGGCAGCCCCCCTCTCGCCACAAACAAAGCATTGCTGGAAAGAAAGAGAAGAACTGAACCATCAGCGGCAGGCTCAGGGCCTCTGTGGCCAGCCCCACACCTCTGGGCAAGACACAGGATGTGGGCACTGCTGGGTCACACTCTACAAAGATGCCTGGTAGACAGGGCTCATCTCCTACGGCAGGACTTTGTTCTGGAGCTGTTTGGAAGGGCCACGACTGCTCTCTTTGGGTCCACACTAAGATGGTACGAACCAGTCCTGGCACAAAACATCTCGCTCCACTCAGGTCCTCACCTTCTGGTTTGCCTGCTTGACTGCACGTGTGATGACAGCAGGGGGGACATCCTCAATTCTCATCCCACGAGGAACGATGTTGGCAAAGGTCTGAAAAGAGCAGGATACCATTAGGACAGAATGGAAGTAAGCAGCCCTGGCAGGAATCTGGAAGGAGCCCATGGGGGAACTCACCAAGCAGAACTCATGGACGTAAATCCCACTTGCAGAAAGTGTGTCCCCGCAGATGTTTGGGTCGACATCCACTCGGCGACACAGTACACACACTGCAGAGGAGAGAACAAATGTGAGCACCTGGTGGGGCCAGGTGTCCCTGAGGGCTGTCCCCAGGGTCCTGCTCTGTGCCTGCCATGCTGGCTGGAGGTGGTGGATTGGAAGGGGCCACGGGAGGCCCAATGGTGCCCGCAGGCAATCACAGCCCAAGTTGGAACCCACGTGCCAAAGAGCAGAGGGGCCCTGCCTTGCAGCAGTTGCGGAGTCCCTGCCTGTCCCTTCCTCACCTCCCGTCCGCAGGCAGACCCTCAGCACTCCTGTTGGCAGGAGCTGTGCTCAGGGATGCTTTGATCTCACCTGGTTCCTCCGAGCTGGAGGCCTTCCTCTTCCTATCGGACATGATGTGCATCAACAGTGAGCACAGTGAGAGTCCCTGCTCTCTCCACGCCTCACCAGGCCGCACTGGTGCTCAGCCTGAGCCCGGCAGCCTTTGCTCTGCTCCAAGCTTCACGCGTCACAATGGCCGCCCTGTGACACCCACTGTGACATCACGGCCACCGCCTCACTGGGGCTGTGGGCCTGGGTCCCCAGGCAAGAGAGCAGAGGCTCTGGCAGGCCTCAGGAATTATGTCCTCCCTCAACCTGCCAGCAAACTGCTCCCCCGGCCAGAGCCAGGAGCAGAGCTGTCCCTTGGCCAAGGCTGCAGCCCTGGAGTCACATTAGCATTTCTTGTCTGAGTCCAGTCTCGGTTTCTAGAGAATCTAGTCAACATTTGCAAGTCAACAGCGTATTTGGTATCTAGCGAGTGTGGTGGGTGACTTTCTATGTGGTTTGATAGGCACAGGACAAGGTGGAACGGTTTTAATCTGAAAAAGGAGATTAGATTAACTCTTAGAGGAAATGTTTTACTCAGAGGTTTGTGAGTGGAAATGCACTGGAATTGCCCAGGGAGGCAGAGGGGTCAGCGTCCCTGGAGGCGTGCAGGAAACATGAAGGTGCAGCACTGAGGGACATGGTTTGGTTGGCATGGTGGGGATGACCCGTCTGGATGCCTACCTGTGCAGGCTGCTGAGACTGCCCTGGCAGGGGGGTGGACACAATGGTCACCAGAGTTCCCTTCCAACCCCTCATGTTCTGTGATTCTGTACTGCAGCCTCTTTAGCGGCAATGTGTGGATGTGTGAACTTATGAACTTTGAATCTCTCATTCTTCATCCATCACCTTCTTTTGCTAACTACTACTACAACGTAGCTCCCCATTGGGTCACTGCATTTTGCCAGCTTTGATTTGTCACCAAATTCTCAGCACAACCAACATTTTGTTATCACGACGTATGCTTTGGAATAATACTCTTCCCACTGGAAAATTTGTTTTTCTTCTTTTATCTTCCTTTGTCCAAGTACAGGGCAGCCCTCCCTGTAAAGATTTTCACTGGCAAGGTTAAAAAAATAGTCACACAGAACAAGAAATCAAAGCTTTAAAATACAGCCTGCAACAAACCCCGGAAAGTATTTCCGGCAGTCATGGGAAGCAAGAGCAGGGCTGTAGAAGGGGATGAGTTTGCACACTTTTCTATAGCTGCTGCTGGGCTGCCCCTGCTCCTGTACGTATTTTGTCTTCCATCTCTAAAAACTGAAATGCAAGGAAACAAAAGGAAACAAAAAAGAGGAAAAAAACACCAAAACCCTGACTGCCTTGGGATAATGCTTCTCTGGGCAGCTGCCATGCATTTCCAATAGCTTTGCATCCATGTGCGGCAGGGACTGAGAATCAGAGCCTGGTTTGTGAACTCTGCTTACCTAGCTGAGCACTGGGGGTCCTGTTAGACAGCTGAGAAGATCCTTGTGTTCACTCCGGATGCTAAATTCAGGGGACAAGGAGACAAAACTTGGGAGAGCTCAGAAAGCCACCTTTGACATCAGTCAGCTTTTCGGGGAGCTTAAGCTGGTCAAGAGCAGTATACCTGATGCCCAGGAGTCACAGCCTCTTCTGCTGTAAGAGCTCAATGAGCTCCAAACTTGTGCATCTTTATGATTGCCCAGAGAAGCTGTGGATGCTCCATCCTGGAGGCATTCAAGCCCCTGATGGATGGCGTCCTATTCTAACCTTATATTGTAGCAAGCGGTTGGATCTAGTTCAGCTTGTAAGGTTGCCTCCACACCAAGCTTTCCTGTGATTCTGTGGCAACCTTCTCTGCCGTAGTACCGTTGCCATGAGCTGAGCGTCTTATCTTCAGTGTTTGTCCCAAGAGCACGGCTCCTCCAATCTACTTCTGTGCTGCGTGCAGTAGGGAAAGCATTAATGGTGTGCATCATACCTTAGCTACAAAGTAAAAGTCTTTCACACTTGCAGACACATAGGTGATTCAGTACAAAGCTTACTTGAAACAAGAGAAAGAAAACCCTCAGACTGATTGTTTATGAACCGCGGACTGCCCAAGCACGTTCCTTCCAGCACAGCTTGAGCTTTCGTGACTGCAGATAAGCTCAGCTGAAAGTTCTCTTCCTTTGGTGCTTCTTCACTGCAGTGCCCTTTTGGCCATTTTTATTAGAAAGCCCTTTAGATCAAAGGTTCATGAGGAAGAAATAGTGCTTCATTGTAGAATGAAGGGAGTGATTGCTCCCCATTGCTCTGCTCTGCGTTTTAAATGGGTCCTCCATGTGGTGTAAGTGGGATCCACACGTAGATGATGCCCAGCTTATTGTGGTTTAGCTTGGAGTAATGAAAGCTCTACGGAAATATTTCTGTGTCCTTGCAGTGCTTGAAGGGAGTCTTGTGTCTCCCAAGCAGTTTTATCTTTCCCTCTGAACAGAAAATAGAAACGGGACAGTGAAGTCTTCTGGGAGTAGTTCTTCTTTTCTGTGAAAAGTACCCTGGAACGGATAACAATCCATGGGACTGGGTTGTTAATTCTCTAACTCCCAGTGCACTACATGATATCATGATGTGGAATACTGATAACAGAAATCATAAAACCATGACATGGGTGAACCCATTCTTCTGTCTTTTGCAGCATTTGTCTTATAGTGTACAGAACTAAAGTTCATTTGTTGGATGTTGGATGTTGTTTTACTGGCCTGGGACTCATAAAGGTTCTAAGAAATGTAACGCAATTCTTACTGTATCTGTTCCTCCCACTCACTTCACTTCTAATATGACCATTATGGACTCCTTTGTGCTTCTCTTATGGCTACCAAGAATGTGTCTGTCCCCACATGTAATTTTTACTCTTCAGAATGTGTATGCGTGTTTCTCATCAGAGATGGGGCAGGGGTGTAACATACACAACTTCTCAGAGAATTGATGGGTTTTTAGCAATCCATGGGAAGAAACCCCGGAAGTTAGCATGGAGTAGATTTCATGGATGTTTCCAGGCTGAAGTCAGGCTTCTTCCTGATTCCTAAGTTGCAGTGCTTATTGCATTAGCCTGGAACTGACTGCCCAGGGATGTGGTGGAGTCACCATCCCTGGAGGTTTTCAAAAAAAGGGTAGATAGGACTCTGAGGGACATGGTCTGGAAAAGTCATAGGCATGGGTTGACAGTTGGACTAGATGACCTTAGTGGTATCTTCCAACCTTAATGATTATATGATTCTATGATTTTCAATCCCAAGACCATGACCACCTCACTTCCCGCACACTCGAGTGTTTTCCTGGAAGGAAGCACCCCCACTAATCCAAAGGGTGAAACCCAGCCAGGGGATCAAGCCTTCTTCTGAAAGATTTGCTGTATACGTACACTTATACCATGCTCCTAACCCATACTTCTGCAGCTAAGATTGCACTGTAAATACAGATGGAGCCTTCTTGCAGGCTATTAGCTTAAAGTGAGGTAGCATTTGTTGTTTTAGAAATATCCTACGAGAAGTAACTGAGGTCTCTTCTCAGGATGAGAGTCTGCAGCCTGAACTGAAATAATATCTTTACTGAAGCTGTAAAAAATTCATTAAAGGAAGTAGAAATATCTTAACGATAACATTTATAAAACATCAAGGATGGCTTGTGAAGGAATGTGTGGTTTTCAAGTGCTAATTGAAGAAAGGCTTGAAAGTGGTGCATATTTGCCAGGTTTTGGCAAATTAGCATTTTATTTCAAGACTCAGTGAGTTATAGAACTCAGGGAAAAAAATAATTAAGGTTGTCTCTGATTCATGCTACATGATTTTTGTGAATATTTAACATTTTGTCAGTTGGTTAAGTCCCCATTTCCAAACTGATCTTTTTCTCATAGTTACCCAGAAATCAGGCTCTCACATCCAGCAAAAAATCTGAAAGGGCTCATCCAAAATCACTGTCATGAAGAGAAAAAGACTTAATTTCCTCCGGGGAAATCTCAGACCTGTCAGGGAGACAGAAGAACTGTAAAGAATGAAATTGTATTTTATTCTTTTTTTCTTCACCCCTTTTTTTGTCTGGTCAGGACTCTGATCTTCCCAAAGGGGAAAGGTATAAGAAACATCAGCAAGTACCTCTTAATCAGCATTATTCCTGGAAAAGGATTCTTGTTGCAAAGCTAAATCCACTGCTTCAGTTCAGACCTCGGGCATTCTTCCCAGGCCACAATGGCCAAAAATTTAAATCTTCTCTCGAGCCTGGAGGCAGTTGGATATGGCCATACTGTTCTTACACAGCATGTGTCCAAGCCACAAATCTGCACATAATGTGCTCCCGAAGTTCAGCCCTATGCAGAAATACAGAGAGTAAGCTGAAGTTGTACTTCAACTTTTCTTTTACTGTCTAAGAATAAAGTTTCATTTTCAAGGAAGAGATTTCTCAGAAAAACAAATTTGGAGTCTTTAACCCACTTCTTTGTGCTGGTATGCCTCACCTGGAGTACCGCACCCAGATGTGGAGTCCTCAGTACGGAAGACATGTGGACCTGTTGGAGCGTGTTCAGAGGAGGGACACGTGTCAAAGGTCTTACTGAAGTCCAGATTGATGACATCAGTGACTCGCCCCTGTCCATTGATGCAGTGACACCTGCATAGAAGGTGTCATAGAAGGCTACTAGGTGATCAAGCAGGATTTGCCCTTGGTGAATTCAGTCTGGTTCTCCCATATAACCTCCCTGCCTTCTATGTGTCTTAGCATTGCTTCCAGGAGGATCTTTTCCATGATCTTCCCTGGCACAGAGCAGAGACTGACAGGTCAGTAGTTCCCAGGATCTTCCTTTTTACTCTTTTTAAAAGTGGATATGATGTTTCCTTTTTTCCAGTCACCAGGGACATCACCTGATTGACACAAACTTTTCAAATATCATAGAGAGTGGCTTGGCAACTGCATCAGCCAATTTCCTCAGGACTCTGGGATGCATCTCATCAGCAGACATCATCCATTGTAGACTTGTGGATTTTCAGGCTTCTTAGGTGGTCATGAACCTGATCTTCACTTAAACTGGGAGGGACCTTGCTTCCCCGATCTCCTCCTAACAAACAAAATGTCTGGGGGCTGTGTGGTGAGAAGTTATCAGGGAAGACCATAGTAAAAAAATAACAAAAAAAATTACCTCAGCCTTTTCCTTGTCTGTTGTTACCAGCCTGCTTGTGTCACTCACTAGGGGAGGGTACAGCCTTCTGGACTTTTCTTTTCTGGTTAAGGTACCTGTAGAAGCTTTTCTTGTTCTTTTTGGCATCCCTAGTCAAAGTTCAGTTCAAGCTGAGCACTGGCCTGACCCCATCCCTCCACAGCCTAGCAGCTTCCTTACAGCCTTTCCACAGTACCTGTCCCTGTTTCCACTGTCTGTGCATTTTCTCCTTGCTCTTCAGTTTGACCACCAGGTCCCAGTTCAGCCACGCTAGTCTCTTGCCTTCCTTTCCTGACTTGCTTCACCTCAGGATGGAAAGCTCTTGCACCCTAAAGAAACCCCCCTGAAAGATCTACCAGCTTTGCTCTGCACCCTTGCCCGTGAGGACAGTCCCAGGACGTTTTGTTGACTAACTCTCTGGAGAGCTAGAAGTCAGCTTTCCTAAAGTTTAGTTTCTTAATTTTACTCTTCATCTTTCTTGTGTCCCTCTGGAGCATGAACTCAACCATAGCATGGTCATTACAGGCCAGAAAGCCTCCAATCTTGATATCACCAATCAGTTCATTTGCATTGGTGAGCAACAGGTCCAGTACTGCATTCCCTTTGGTGGGGCTGTCAGTTACTTGACTCAGGAAGTTATCCTCAGTGCATTCCAGGAGCCTCTTGGATTGCCTCCAGCTCACTGTGCTACTTTTCCAGCAGATGGTGGTTGAAGTCCAGCATTAGATATGGAGGTTGGCAGACTTGCCTGCAGCAGGGGATTGGAGCTTGATGACCCCTGAGGTCTCTTCCAACCCAAGCCATTCTACGATTCTATGATATAAAGTCCCCCAGCAGGATGAGCACTTGCAATCCCAAAATCTCACATAGCTGGAGGGTGAAAGCCTCATCGACAGGGTGTCACTGATCTGGTGGCCTGTAGTAGACAACGATCACAAGGCTCCCTTTGCTGACTCAGTCTCTAATTGTTACCCATTGGCTCTTGACTTGCTCATGACTGTGGGATAACTTCGCATTTTATTCCTTTCCTGATGTAGACAGGAACATCCCCACTCCTCCTTCCTTGCCTGTTCCTTCTGAACATCTTGTAGCCAATGATAGCCACACTCCAGTTGTGGGAATCATCCCAAAAGGTTTTGGTGATGACAACTAAATCATAGCTTTCAAGCAGCACAGTAGCTTCTAGTTCCTTCTGTTTGTTTCCCAGGCTGCATGCACTGGTGTAGAGGCAGCTGATCTTGTTGCTTCCATAAAGGATAACTCCTTAGTGCCTTCTAGCTGTTTTCCCTGAATTTCCCCATTGCTTTCTCCTGTTGCCCCAGCAGTCACGGCATCACTATCGTAGAGTTTTGTATGTGCTGCAGTGTTGCCGATATCCCACTGAAAGGAACACTCTCAGGAAATCCAAAGCACAGCCTCTGGCTATGCTTATGTAGTTACTTGTACTCCAGATAGGCAATCTTTGGCTGTCCCCTCTCATTTCAGTGGTAAAGTCAATTCAAAAAATCCCAGCCTCTCTGCAGTTCACCACCCTCATCAGTTGCACTGTATTTTAGAAGCTTTTTTATACACATAATCAGCAAAATGGTCTGAATTAAAGGCACATCACATTGGTAATTTAGGGACATTGTTCAGTGGGCATGGTGGTGATGGGTTGATGGTGGGACTAAATGATCATAGTGGTCTTTTCCAATCTTACTGATTCCATAATTCTACGAATTACTTGCAGAACTCCCAAGATAATGTACCAAGACTGTAGCAAAGCCAGTCACTAAAACAGGAGTTTCTGTCCTCTCTTAATCATCAAATCATTCTCCAGTCAGGATGGAGTTCCACAAACAGTCTGTGAACTAATTGGTCTGGGATGGGCTTTTTACTCTACCAACAGAGTAGGAAAGTGATTTTTCAGCTGTTGAACTCTTTGCATGACTAGAGAGCAGGGTCTGGCCTCTAATTTCTTGCACTGGTAAAAATGAGCCACCATATCATCAGTGAAATCTGTGGGCACTGCAGGAATCCAGGGTGACGTATAACCATCATCCCTGTAGGGATGTAGGGTGATATAGGATGTCAAGAGGGCCCATCCTGATGTAGGATGACCATTTCTGTAGGGATAGTGGGACCTATAGGAGGTTCCTTTACATTTGCCTCATACTGCAGAAGAAGGAATGGCCTTGCAGGATGAAGATGTCCACTAATGGACTGATTTGCACAGCTCAGGTGTTCTAAGGGAGAGGAGAGAGGAAGGGAGGCTGAGACATGCCTCTTCCTGCACATCCACACAGCCTGACACAGCCCTGGAAGCCTTACCTGCCTGCCTCACGTGGCCAGATATGAGCTGAGCAAACACCGTCTGAGAGCCCCAGCTCCAAGCCAAACACAGCATGCAAATAATAGCACAGGCCCTGTAAGGTATGAGGTTGTTCCCATTCATTCAGAGCTGGAAACTGAACATCTCATGATAACATAGCTAAGGTGCTTACTAAAAATATAAAGTTGTTATCCTGACAACAGCTCCTCAGAGTATAAAGCAATACAAAGTCTTGGTTGTTTCTAAAATTGGTGCTGGCCACTTGCTTGTGAACATAACCTAGAAATGAATGTTAAATATGACAGATCTTTTAAAAACAATTAAAAAGGAAAAAAAAAAGGGGGGGATAATTTGGCAAGAATAAGGACCAGTTACTCTTTAATCAGCAGAGATCCATTCTGATGGCAGTATGAATGAAACCTGTTTGAAGTATCAGTTGAAGAAAATTTTCTCAAGGGCTCTTGTTTTCAGAAATAATTCCTCTATCAGATGAGAAATAAATTCAAATAAAAAATGTACGTGTCATCCTGAAAAGGGCAGATCTCTGCATCCTCCTCCCACTCATGTCACAGTATCTGTCTGCAGACATTCCTTATCCTCTGCATTACACTGGGGACTTGGGGATACAAAACACCTTAAGGGGCAAGTCAGTGGAAGAAACCCATGTTGTGTTGCTGTAAAAATTAGCAGACATGTTCACATGACTTTTCTGATGCACAGGACTGCCACTGAATGCTTGTCATCATAGAATCATAAAATCATAGAATCATTTGAGTTGGAAGGGACCTATGAAAGTCTCTGTTCATGTAGATGTCCGTGTTCATTGCAGAGGAATTTGACTAGTTGATCTTCATTTGGTCCATTCCCCTGCAGTGAACAGGGACACCTACAGCTAGAGACGGAGAGGACTCATTTCATCTCAGAGATGACCAGAATAGATCAGAGGAATGTGTCCTCCAACAGGCTATTTTCCTCCACTGACTATAACAGGAGACAAAAGACATCTCAACTAAAGATAAGTGAGACGGATCCCACCCAACAGCAGCTGCTACAAAGCAAAGCTTGGCTTTTTCAACCAGTGATTGTACAGCACTGCTGTAAAGGCATCCAAGGCCATGGCAACTTTTCAAAAATGTAACAGACCAAAAATAAATAAATAAATAAATAAATAAAAGAGGCATGGGATATGGAAACAAACACTATTTCCTGCACTCAAATTTCCTTCTCAGCTCAGGGCAAGGAAAAGCAGATGCAAATCAGATGGAGCTCTTGGCCCAGAACCAAGTATCCCACCTGATCCTGAGCCAGCAGCTCCCCAGAGCTCCGAGCTCCGTGCCCTTGAAATGAGGAAGCCCTGCAACACACAGCCTTGCCCTGAAGTGTTTGGGAATTGGAGCCCAAACACAGTGATGACTGCGGCGTTATCCAGTGCCATGTTACACACTGAGCATTTTGGCCAGCTGTGCATGAGACAAGGTGACAGTTGCCAGTAGGCATTGCAATGGGCTGGAAAACTCCTAGTGCTCCAAGACACCCTTTTTTTTTTGTTTGTTTGTTTTGTAACAAAGGAGTTTACTTGCTTTTTCAAGCAGAGGAAAAAAAAAACCAACACTGTCTTCAAGGAATATGAAGAACCTTTTTCAAGAGATGATAGATGGAAATGTATAATTGATGGATATCAAGATGCTACAATCACAAAATAAACAAGAGAGTTAGGCAAAGTGGACTATGATAACAACAGAGAATGAATGGAAGGCTTACCCTTACACTGGGCTCACCACAAAACACCAGAAGGAGGGATCAACAGATGAGATCCTTCCCTTCTGGTAGCCAGCTCTTAAATAGGTCTAAGAGGGGTGCAGCCAGGCTCCACCCCTTTCGGCAGCACAGCTGAATTGCCTTCACCTGTGCTCCTCTGGCTGACTCATGGCTCACCTCAGGTGATCAATCAGAGGTTCAGGCCGTGACTCAGCAGTTCCCATACAGGTAAGAGCCCAAAGTCAAGAAAAAAATGAATGGGTTCTCAGTAAGCATAGGGTAAAATAGAGCAGGATCACTGAGAAACAGAAAATAATAACAATAATAAAGAAGACCTTAATTTAGTTCAACACCATGCACTTATTTTATGCATCTTTAAATCTGGCAGTCCATAACGCTTAACTGATCCATGCTGCTAAGTTCTCCTTTTGTTGATGCTGCTCATCACTGCTGTGAGTGTAGATGTGTTCAGTCCACGTGTTATGCTCATGTAGCATGGAAATGGCACAGAAGATGCCATTTCAGAGTCACAGAATAGTTTGGGTTGGAAGGGACCTCAAAGATCATCTAGTTCCAACCCCCCCTGCCATGAGTAGAGTTGCCAACCACTAGATTACACACCTGTGCAGGCTGCCCAGGGCCCCATCCAACCTGGCTTTGAACACCTCCAGGGGAAACTTCTCTGGGCAGCCTGCACCAGCATTTCTTTGATATTCCAATTGTCACTTCTTTCGTCAAGGTTGGTTTTCATTGAGCAAGGAAATGTTCTTCCTTGCTGTGGTGTTTTCACTCTGATGGGCAGCTATGTCTTGGAGAACAAGGTTTCAATGCAAGTAACAATTGTTTAGCAGAATGAACATTTTTATTACGACAGCCCCCCTTCTTCCTCTTTCCTCATTTTTACTGCTGAGTATAACACCCTACAGTATGGGTTTAGGTCAGCTGCCCTGGCCTCACTTCATAGCTCCTCCTGCACAGGTTTCTTCAGGCTCTGGCATACCTCAGATTTACCTCATCTTCTGACACATTCTTGTCCTGTTCTGTCTCTGCTCTACTCTTTATAAACCAATTTTACTTGCCAGTGCGGCCTGGCTAATCCTTCTTTAAAGAGAAAAAAAATATAGTAAGTATTTTCTGTGGTTTCCAGTATTTGATTTTTTTCCCTCTGAGAATTCAGAGATTTACTCCATCCTTCCTTTCACATGCACAAAATTGCCAGGATTGCTTTTTGCATCCCTTACTACCTGAAACTACTGGAGTGTCTTGGCTTTTTTGATTGTAAGTATACAACCATCATCCATATTTCTGTAAGATCACAAAGACAGACCTCTCCAGACTTTTATTCAACCAAGGCTTTGGGAAAAACAAGTGATCTTTTCCCCCTCCCTCTCCCAGTCGCTCTCCCTCTATCCTTCCCTCTCCCTCTCCAGATTCAAAGGGGATCCTGCACCTCTTTACCTCTACAGAGAGATAGAAATCCTTGGGGGGCAAAAGGTATGGAGACAGCTGTGGGACATCTTAGTTGCCATAATAATGTAACAGAATTTAGGAGTCAGAGCCCACAGACTCTACCACCAACGCAGCCAAGCCTTAAGAGCTATTTGCACAGGTTTTAAAAATCCAAGTATTTTGAAGTGCAAATCACGCTTTTGGTAAACCAAGGCTGTGGTTTCACAGTAAAGTGTCGAGTACAAATAACCACTAAGGGATTGCTGCCTCTCTCTGCAATGATGGGCAGGAAGGGGTGAAATCAGGATTTTTCTCTTCATCCCTTTTATAGCCTGTGTGTTTTCACACATACTGGGCTCTCTTGTAAAAGTTGCAGCATTTGAAAATAAGGCTTCAGATAACTTTCCATTGCTGAGTGGAGCAGCAGGGAGAAACCATCACTGCTGGCTGGCAAGAGTGCAGAATGCACAACTGGCGAGAGGGAGCCTTGGGAAAGCCTTCCTTTGTACACACACACACAGTCTGCTGATGCATCCCAAATACTGTCTTTGATGAATAATTTGCAGGATATCCATAGAAGATGAAATTTTAAGAAATATCCATCTAGTTCAAATGTCTTGAGTGTGTAATACTTGGGCAAAAAGAGCCTGAGGCAATTCCCAGGTGAAAAATGGTCATCCAGCAACCAGTTCTTGGAAATGGTTCTTCAAAAGCTGCTGAGGAAATGTAAGAAAAAGTAAAATGTTAGAGCCAAAGTAAATCTGTGTTAAGATACACATTGCTTTATAGATGCTAGCAAGGTGTTCAGCTGGCTTATGTAATGATATCAGCTGTAATATTTAATTTAGAATTTAATATAAAGGCAACTGATTGCAAGACACAAACAGATCCACCAACCTAGAGGAATTAATCTTTTTATGAAACTATGTTGCACACATGAAATCAGCTGAAAATGACTTAGCAAGAACTAGCTTCCAGCTTGCTGACTGAACTCATGATTAAATCGTGATTAAAGCTGGTGACTTGAGCATCCGCCAGTCCACAATTTGGTCCCCCCTTGAAAAAAGGAGGGACTATTTCTTGCAGGGGCTATTTCATCACGTTGGTACCAGGGGATGTGTGGACTCAGATGAGGAACAGTTCCCATGATTTTCTTTAGTGCCTTGTAATGTTTACCATTGACTTTAAGGCTATTGCTTGGAGTCATATGATGAGATTTGCAGTCCACTTGGTTTTGTAGCTGAATGCAAGTTCCTGTGTCTTGAAGTCAAGGAGGAAAACTCAGCCGCGTGACCTCAGTTCTCTCAGAAGATAAGTGTACTGAAAAGAAATAGAAAATGAAACCTGCCCTCTGGGGAGGAGGCTGTGGAGGGGGAGGGGAATGGTATTAGGCAGAGCAGCAAGTTTGAGGCAGCAGTTTAAGATACTGACCCCATCGGTAGACCCTGCAGTGTATCAGATCATTCTGTCACAGATAGAATCCCCCCTGATTCCTCCTGGGACCCCCACCTTCCTCCCTGACTTGGCACCCAAAAAGCCTCAAGAATGCTCCATGTCCTTTCCATCCCTGTACCTCTAAACCCATCAGGACCCTCATTCACTCTCCCCATCTCAGTACACCAAGCTCTCCTGGGATGTCCCCAGTTTGGCACTCCCCATCCTCAACAGAATCCCCAGCTCAGCACCCCAAACCCCACTGGGACCGCAGCCCAAACTCCCCATCACTGCACCACAAACTTCACCAGGACCCTCCAACCTCAATCCCCAAAGGGATACCTGTACCATTCCCTATCCTGGCACCCCAAACCCTACCAGGACCTCCTCCAGCCTGGCACCCTGATCCCTAACAGCATTCCCCAAACAACTCACTCCATCTTAGTCTCTCAAACCCCACCAAGAACCCCTCAACCTGGCACTTCAGACCTCAACGGGACTCAAGTCCAAACTCCCCATGCCAGCACCTTAAACCCTGCCAGGACTGCCACAACCCAGCACTACAATTCTCACTGGGATGCCCTCCCATCCCAGCACCCTAACCCCCCCAAGGACCACAATCCATATTCCCCATCCTGGCACCCCAAGCCCTAGTGGAACCCCCAATATCTGATACTTCAACTTCCACTGGGACATCTACCCATCTTCCCCATCCCAACACTCTAGATTCTGCCAAGACACAAGCATAAATTTTCTATCCCGGCACCCCAGCCACCACCAAGTCCCCTCCAGCCCCACCCCTACTGGACATCCCTCGAGCCCTTCCCATTCCCAACCCTAAATCCATTCCACATTCACACTCAGTACTATTCCGGTACCGATCCCTATGCCCATCTCCATCCTTATCCCCATCATCACTCCCATTCCCACGCTCACCCGCGTCCCTCCCCATCCCACCCCCGGGTGTGGCCGCCGGCAGAGGGGCGGGGGCGCGGAGCCGCTTTGTAGGCAGCGGGGCGGTCGCGTTCCGTTCCTCGCTGCGCTGCGCTCCGCCCGGTCATGGCCGCGTCCCGTCCGACTCAAGGCTGCGGCAGCGGAGCGCTGCTGGGCCGCTTCGGAGTGCTGCTGCAGGCATTGCTGGCACTGTGCGCCTTCTGCACGCTGATGTGTGAGTACCTCCGTACCTCCGGGCTGTTATTAGGGCGAGGTTTCGGGGGAAGCTCTTTGCTTAGAGAGTGGCGAGGCACCGGCACGGGCAGCCCGGAGAAGTTGTGGATGCTCCGTCCCTGGAGGTGCTCGAGGCCGAGCTGCACGGGGGTTCGGCGACTTACCGTTAGGCTGCAGCTGGGGGGTTGGAAGCGGATATTCCTTAACAACCCAAACTATTCTGCCAGATAACCCTTCTAGTTGGGTATCGCAGCCCGTTTGCCGGCACTGCTTGGAGCTTCGCGTCGCTTTTAATGTGTTTTTTTTTTTTTTTTTTTTTTTTTTTTTTTTTTTTCCTCCAGACCTGTAGAAGGGATGGCAGCAGCTCGCAGCCGGCAGTTAGGGCGCCAGATGCTCTCTCGTAAAACTGTTGTTCCGAGCCTTTATCTGATGGTAATGAGGCACCGCGGAGTCGCGGCTCTGATGTGCGAGCTCAGTGGCTTAGAAAATTTTAATGAAGGGTGGAAGCCAACGGTGTAGGCAGGAAGAACGTGACAAAAAATAGGATGGGCATCAGGTACGGTGCTGCTTGGTTAGAATAATAGGTCCTCTAATTGCACTGTGGTGTTGTTTTGCTTAACTTTCCCTTAAAACGTGAAGTTTTTTGGGTTGAGTGCTGTTTGCTGGGAAGGGATGGTAATAGGAGAAAGCAGTGAGAAGAGGTGAGGGCACTGATGCTGCAAGACTTGAAAAAATCATTGCTGCTGTGCCCCAGCTGTGCTGTGCTTGGAGCACCGTGGGTGCTTCTCCTTGGGGTTAAGTGATCTAACAGAAGCCTCAATCTGTTCTCCTTTTTTTAAAAGCCTGCAGTAATTAAAGCTTCCAGTTGAGTTGAGAAGCCACATGTCTTGAATCTCTGTGCTGCCTGGACTCCAGTGTTTAATGCCAGTCAGCTTGTGAAAGCTGCAACCAGTTCTTCCTGTGGCAGCTGATAGCTTTTTCCAGTGGGAGTAATGACATTGCAACACTTCACGGCCTTTATTTCACTGAACGTTAACTGTAAGAGCAGCCTACTTTGTTGTTTCTGTTGCTTTTTTTTTTTTTTTTTTTTTTTCTTTCTGTTCCTGTAGTGGGGGAGGCTATGTGTTAACTGACCCATAAACCACAGGGGATACCTTGTGAAATAAAGGGTATTAATTATCAAAATACTCCCACAAATGAAAGCATGGGCTCAATTATTTGCCAGCAGTAGTTAAGAATGTTGTTCTCCCCCTGATGCAAGAGCTAATAGAGTCTTGCAGAACTTCCTGAGTTGGAAGGGACCCATCAAGTCCAACTCCTGGCTTCACACAGGACCGCACAGGCAGCTCAGTGCCGTGCCCACTGCCCTGGGCAGCCTGTTCCATGCCGACTGCCCTCTGGTGCAAAGCTTTCCCTAACTCCCCCTGCCCCTTCCCTGACACAGCTCCATGCTGTTCCCTCAGGCCCTGTTGCTGTCACAGAGAGCAGAGCTCAGTGCTGCCCCTCTGCTCCATGTGAGGAGCTGTGGGCAACCATGAGGCCTCCCCTCAGCTTCCTGCTCTAGGCTGAACGAACCCAGGGACCTCAACTGGAGAATGAGGATGCTCATGTCCAAGGATATGAAGAGCAGCTGAGCATGCTCTTGGTTAATTAGGGAAAAATCCAAAAGCTCTTTTTGAGTGTTTCCTTGTGAACCTGCTCAGTGGCTGAAGATGAACCCCTAGATGTGAATAGGTTTCCAGCCCTAGACTCCTGATGGTAGATCATGCCCTGGCTGCCCCTAATTCCCATCAGGTGTTCTTTATCTACACCTCCTTTGCATACTCTCAGGTTTTCTGTTAGGGCTGGCTGTGTGCAGCCTCTTTAGCCCCCTGTAGCTATAATTGGTTTACCAAAGATTTTGTTAGGATATAACATGCTTTAAGGCTTCTTTTGGGAGTGGCCTATTCAGCTGGAAGCTTCCTGGGGAAGAAAAGGCTGCAGTACCTGGATAGTGGTGGTTTGCAAACAGTGTATGTAGGGGAAATCAAATTAATGCTGATGTGGTGTTGGATAAGGCTTTGCAGGTGCTTAGCCATGGAATGTGCTCGGAAGAGCACAGTCTACAGCAGGATGGATATTTTTATGTTGTTATAAGAAGAGTTTGTGACTTCATGTTTCTTTTACTTGGGGCTACAGGAAGCCTGAAAAAGAATATGCTAATCTCAGGGAAAGTGGTAATGCACTCAAACAGGCTGCCCAGGGAGGTGGTGGAGTCACCATCCCTGGAGGTGTGCAGGAAACATGGAGCTGTGGCACTGAGGGACATGGTTTAGTGGGCATGGTGGGGATGGGTGGGTGATTGGAATAGATGGCCTTAGTGATTCGATGTGGATCTGTGACATGGAGTGTGAAGTTTTAGTAGAACAACCCACTGTGTTCTTTGAGGCCAATTTCACCTCTTGCAAAGGGTATTAGAAAGCCCTTTAGATCAAAGGTTCATGAGGAAGAAATAGTGCTTCGTTATAGGATGAAGGGAGTGATTGCTCCCCACTGCTCCACTCTGTGTTTTAAATGGGTCCTCCATGTGGTGTAAGCAGGATCCACAGGTAGATGATGCCCAGCCTAATGTGGTTTAACTTGGAGAAGAGAAAGCTCTAGGGAAACATTGCTGTGTCCTTGCAGTGCTTGAAGGGAGCTTATGAGCAGGAGGGGGAGCAACTTTTTATATGGCCTGGTAGTGACAGGACAACAGGGAATGGCTTTAAATGGAAAGAGGAGAAACTCGGGCTAGATGTTAGGAAGAAATTCTTTATTTGGAAAGTGGTCAGGCACCAGCATGGGTTACTCAGAGAAGCTGTGCGTGCTCATCCTTCAAAGGGTTCAAGGCCAGGTTGGGTGGGATCCTGGGCAGTCTGATCTGGTGGTTGGTGACCCTATGCAGGGCAGGGGGTTGAAACTGGATTGTCTTTAAGCTCACTTCCAACCCAAGCCATTCTATGGTTAGGATCACCACTATTACAGCACTGAGGAAAGTATTTGTTGGAGCTTACAAATACTCTAAACGACTCTATCCTGTCTTTAAGGCTGTAGTCAAGCTCCTTTGCAGTGTTGTGCAGGGCTTGCTCTAATTTAGTAATCAAATGAGAATCAGATGTAATCCTTCCCAGCTGCCTGCTCCTTCCAGAAGGACTCTTGCTAAGAGAATTAAGTTGTGAACACTTGGTTCTGCTACCTCTTTTTTCCTTACAGCTGTGGTTGGCAATCTAGCTTCCTGGGCAAGAACTTGTCCTTGGGGAAGCCGTGATGTGGATAATTCAGCAATCCCATCTGAAGTAGTTGTCAATGCGTAGCTTTTGAGTGAATTTTGCAGTTGCTGCATGTGATGTGAGGGTTGCTGGAACTTGTCACGTGGACACCAAATCCCTTAGAAAGAGAAGACAGAGTCTTGAATAGGTATCTTAGTCATGTTTTTCCTTTTAGATTAACAGGGGACAAGTGAAACAGATCTGGGGAGTCATTTAAGAACATTTCTCTTCTGTTTACCTCTCCTCCTAAAGCTTTTTAAGTAGCCTTCTGAGCTCTTGAATGAGGCTTAGGAGCATTTGTGCTATGGCAGTGTTTTGTGGTTTGGCTCAAGGGTTGGTCCTGAGGTAGGACTGTGGAATAGCAGCTCGACCATAAAAACAAACAGTAGCTCTCAGCTGTGGAGGGAAATATTGGTAAAATCATAGAATGGCTTGGGTTGGATGGGATCCCAAAGATCATCTCGTTCCAACCCTCTGCCTTGGGCAGGGTTGTCACCCACCGGATTGGGCTGCCCAGGGCCTCATCCAATCTGTCCACGGTCACTTCCAGGCATGGGACATCCACAGCTTCTCTGGGCAGCCTGTGCGAGTGGCTCACAATCCTCTGTGTGGAAGGGCTTGGATTTCCTTATACTGAGGGGTAGATGGAAGGAATAGAACTTAACTCAGAAGGGTTCTGCCCTATTGCAACTCAAATTTGTTGCTGCACATGCTTCAGGTTGCTGCACTGTTTCTGTGCTTCAGAACTATCTTACATGCTTCCCATGTGGTGTTCCAGCTTTTACGCTGAGTATATCTAGGAAAAAAAGTGGGTTGAAGTGTGCGTGTACATCAGGAAAGAGAACTAAATGATAGATCACTGGATCTGTGCAGACTTGCATTCTGTTGATTTTAATAAACCTGTCCAGGGCATGAGAGTACTACACTGCCATGCCTGGGACGGGCTATGCTGACTTTGCTTCCTTTAACATGGGAACATAGCTGTGTTTGATTTGATTCATTATACTGAAATAGGGACTTTACCACTCTCTCTTGTGGGGAAAAATAAAACCACAAAGATTTACAGCCTGGAAGAGGTGTGAAGCACAGGGCTGTGACTCTGGTAGTCTGGGTCTGCATGTAGGTTTGCAAGTTAAGCAAGAAGCTACATATGGCAGGACTCCTATGACTTCTTTCCTTCCGCTTCAATACATGTGAAAACTGGCTGAGCTTGAAAACATGCGTTGTGCTTTGTAAGCTGGAAGGACCATGTGGCATTTAATGTGCTTCATTAAGCAAAGCACAGCTTTCTATGGAGCTTTTGAATCTGAGTTGTTGATTACGTTGACCTCCTCTTGGATGTCACCTTCTGAGCTGCTAAACCAAGTGGTGAAAACTGTATGCTAAATGATGATTGGGAGGAATAAAAGCTGAGGACATTCCTGCTTGCTGGAGGAACAAATGGGTTGGTTAGGCTGAGAAACAACCAGGCAAAGCTTGAGCTGCCAGAAGTTATGTGTAACCTATGGGCTGTGAAGCACCTTATGCATTGTTGGATGAGTTCTGCTGCATCTGGTGGATGATTGATATTATAGGTGATTCTTAACTCTTGTGCAAGTAGGTTTACAGGGGAATTTTGTCATTTCAAAGGGTGGAGAAAATAAGCCTTTAGGGAGGAGTCTGTTAAATTTCCAGTTGGTTTATTATTTGGCATTTGTGAGAGAACTGACAAACT